TTAAAAGTATTTTAAAGTGAAAAAATAAAAATGTTGTAAAACTGTGAAGTAACATTTTGTGGTGAAACCGCTCAATGACTCATCTCCCCGTCTCTCGCACACACACCAAGCGGCTTCACGTTGGCACATTTAATCTCTTTCTTTAGAATGAGGCGGAACAAGTATTAAAAGAGGGTAAAATCACTACAGTCGGGCATGTTGAGCGCTGTACATACACAAAAGGGGAGTTAGTCGGTTCCGTAAGAGCCAAGCATGCAGGCCGGGATCTGGGATTTTGTAGTCTTTCTGTTTGCGTTATTCTTTCATAGGTCTTATATTTCAACAGCTTTACGACCAAAACTGTGCTTTTTTGACATGGAATTTTTTAAGATTCGACATACATCATATGTGTAATCGTGGCCAATTCCAACGGGATCGAACAAGATAATCTTTCCTCTCCAGTGACTTCAATACAAACTTTTTCCGAAATAAGTCCCATGAGTCCCGACCGGAAGGGGAGGGACTTTGCTCTCTTTGCTAAATGTATTGGCACTAGTTAACTCTGCTTTCTTTTTTTAACTACAGTAGTTAACACTGTCAGCGCTTTTGCAGCACACGAAGTTAACTTTTAGACTTTTAGTGTCACCCCGTACGTTCGAGGCGCCACTAGTTCATCAAAAGCTGAAGTTGGGACTTTTGGTGCACTAATGGGCTGTCCTGGTGTCAAGCTTACTGTAGTAGGAACTAGTCAGACAAAAGTGCCACTAGTTTCTGAAGAAACAGTGACTAGTAGAATATTTTGTTCAACTAGTAAAGCAGAGTTCCCAACATGTTGGACCATATCTAACAAGTGGTAATAAAAGACGCCACTAGTGTTCACAATTCCATCTGATATCAAGGATATTGATTAATACTCAAACGACTTGCCATAGGTTAGCTTTCGCCCACATTTCAGCACCCTCCAGTCCCCCTCAGGTTAACACTGTTAGCTTTAGCCACGTTGGGTCGAATGACAGCAGGCCCCAAAGTCAGAGCTGACGAAAAATGATTTTGAGAAACTTTTTAATTTCTACGGAGCTGTGAAAAGTCCGTTTTTCTATCTCAGGTTCGATCCTTAACACTGACAATTGTAATCTAGTTCTGGGGCCGACCCGCCCTCTTCAACACTGAGGAATCCCACCCCAGCAGGTTGGGTAGCCGCAGCTAGCGGCTAACATGCAGCACGCTGTTCAGACGTGTCCCTGGCTATTTCACTCCATTTCCACACACCCCCCTTTTCCAGCAGTGTCATTCAGGGCAACGGCGTTTCTCAATCACATGTCTATCCGAGTCACTTGTTCAGAAGCAGGCAAGAATCCTTCCTGGCATTCGAAAACGAAGAGTGGAACAGCTAGCAAGTGTGCAGGTGTGCGTATATGAGAGCCTGCCTTACATTTTCCGCCACAGCTTTGGCCGCGGGAGAATTGGTCCGTGCGCAAAGCATGTTGTGGGGGATTTGAAGGACGCGAGCCGCGCAGCCACCCCCTGACTCTGTGTTGTCTTCTTGTAAGTCTACCCATGTGCGGCCTCAAAATTACCCCCCAAACCAGAAGCAGGCCTCGGTTGGAATTCCAAGTAGCTGAAATAGAACAGGTCCTTTCGGCGGCAGTCTGATTGATGTAGTTATCCTGAATGTTGGCTTGGAAGCAGTTTCTCGAGATTGAGATTATATCGGCTCATGTTTCCACTGCTAGGAAACTGTTCTCTTCGCTGATGCGCGACGCCTGCCATCTCGCTCTCTGGGCCACCCAACTGACCGAGGCTTGTTATGCCAGTGCAGCGACTTTCATTTCTTGTTTTAATCAACATACCACAGAAGTGTTGTTGACTCAGGTTGGAAAAAGAAAGTCCAAATAGGATCTTTGTAGTTTGTCGATATTTAACAAAGTTCATCAGTTCTATCATGGCTCCATCTGGTCTATTCTTCCTGTTGGCATTGTAGATTGATAGTAATCAACACATTTTAAACTGGCTCTATTAAATGTCAGGTCTTTAGCAGGTAAATCATTTTTAATCAATGATTGTATCACCCAGCACAATCTGGATTTTATGTTTTTTTTATGTCAGACTATGTATGGAAACGTTGCTTCTTTTGAATATGTGGCCCTTCAGTTGAAATGCTCCTCTCGAGCTCTTTTCCTAAACATCTATAGACCACTACTACTGCAAGCTTTTTTGAGGATTTTACCGAGTTGTTGTCTATAGTGTGTATTGACTTTGAGCGTTTAATCATCGTTGGTGATTTTAATCTGTTTTATCCATGTTGACAATCCCCAGGAAAGAGGGGCTAAAGTTATTGACAATTTTGGACTGACTCAGCATGTCAAGGGTCCGACACACAATAAGGGGCACACCCTGGACTTAATTGTATCAAAGGGTCTGAACATCGCTAAGTTTGTGGTGACTGATGTAGCACTCTCCGACCATTCCTGTGTTTTCTTTGAGAGCTCTATTACCGTCCATACAGTTGTTAAGACAGAGGTAACCACTAGACGTCACTTAACTGAAAATGCACGGGAAATGTTTGCTCAGATTTTTACTCCCTCAACTGCCCTTGCTAACTACTCAGTAAATGAGCTAATTGATCATTTTAATTCTAAAATAACAAATGTCATGGATACCATTGCTCCCATTAAAACAAAGGAAGTATCTAGCAAGAAAATATCTCCATGGAGAAAAGCCATGACCGTGAGAACAGCAAAAACTGAGTGCAGAAAAGCTGAACGCAGGTGGAGAAAAACAAATCTCCAAGTTTACTTCGAAATATATAAAGAGAGACTCTGCGTCTATAATCAGGAAATACAAAAGTAACGATAATCTTTCTTCTCTGACATCATTACCAAAAATAAAAACAACTCACGTGCCTTATTTGCTACCGTCGACTGACTAACTAACCCCCCAGTGTCAGTAGCTTCAGAATTTCTATCCACCAGGGCCTGCAATGAATTTGCCTGCTTCTTCACTGACAAAATCATGAAAATTAGACAGGCAGCCAGTGCCTCTGCATCAGGTACAGCAAATGTGTTGTCCCTGTGTCCACCTAAAGTCAATCCGGACATCATGACACAATTCCGTCTGATAAATCCTGTAGCCTTGATATAATTCCGACAGGATTTTTCAAAACTGTTTTTCATTGCTTGGCCTCGGATATAGTACACATAGTAAACAAGTCTCTTCACTCAGGTGTTTTTCCACAGGCCCTGAAAACTGCAGTAATTAAACCGCTCCGAAAAAAGCATAACTTAGACACAACCGTAATGGATAATTACAGGACAATATCAAACCTTCCTTTTTTAAGCAAATTGATTGAAAAAGTTGTTTTTCAACAGTTGAGTCATTTTATGTTTTTAAATGACGGTTTTGATGTGTTCCAGTCAGGCTTTCGACCAAACCACAGCACTGAGAATTCACTTTAAAAGGTCTTAAATGACATCCATTTAAACACAGACAGTGGCAGAACATCAGTGTTAGTATTATTAGATCTCAGCGCTGCGTTTGACACTGTTGACCACAACATATTGCTAGACCGACTAAAAAACTGGGTGGGAGTTTCAGCAACATCTCTAAATTGGTTTAGTACCTACTCAAAGGACAGAAAAAACTTTATCTCAATAGGCAACTACACATCAACTTTGACAAATATGTCATGCGGGGTTCCTCAAGGCTCCATCTTAGGACCTTTGCTTTTTAATATCTATATGCTACCACTGGCTCAAATTATTAAAAACAACGATCTAAGCTATCATATCTATGCAGACGACACCCAGATTTATTTTAAAATTACACCAGGAGACTATTCTCCGATTAGAATACTGACTCAGAACTTTCTCCATTGTCGCGTGCGGAAAAGTGCTATATAAATAAACTTGCCTTGCCTTAATACGATGCCACAGCTTTGCTCCTGACATCGAGATAGGAGGGAGAAGCACGTTTTTTTTCCTATGCTCCAAGGTGACTACCAGCACATCTAAAGTTCACTAAATTACAAAGTCAGTGCCCAGACAAAAAACAAAGCGCAAAAAAAACGAAATATATGTGTTACTGACCTTTAGAGGTGCTAGTAGTTAGAACAGAACTAGGTTAGCTTTTTCCCAATATTTTCATTTTGTATGTTTAGTCTGCCTCTATCTTCATATTTATATACATTATATACTAATCATTGTGTTGAAAGCATGCCAGGTTAGAAACCCCCTCTGGAGAAAATATGCCAACACCTTACTTAACGTTTTTTTTTGGATACTCTCTGGTCTTTATGGTCATAACATGTTGGCACAAATAGTCCCATCACAGTAGCATGTATTACACAGCATCCATAGCATACAGCTTACTGTGTGTGGGTCGGCAGTGTCGAGCCCCCGGGTCAGACACGTGACTACGGGTGATCTCCTCCTGTGGGCGCAGCAGAAATGTCTGAATGCAGCACATTAGCAAAGCTGCACAAGCTACATCCCGTCAACCTCAATGTGTCCATGCCTTATTCATTACTACGTCTCTACTCCCCCTCGCTCTCCCCCATGTGACACTCAAAAACACTCGTCGTAAATAAAATCTAACTCGCCACACAGCCTCGTTCACAAAACCAAAATGCACATCAGGACGCCATGAATAAATCAGTAGCTCTACATCGAACATCAACACAAAATGAAGAGGCACTTGAGCTGCCTGATCCTAATAACCACCATATATTATACATTACCAGTTATGCTAATGAGGTCATCAATTACATAGCAACTGTGTCTGTGTCAAAGGACTCCTGTTCCCATAGCATGGCTGGTATTCATATGAATTCTCCTATCATTAAGGGGCTATCGCTAGTCCCAGAGAAAACAGCCCTTTATTAATATGCAAATGTGCTGCCTGGCAATCTAATTACATTATGTAGACTATGGAAGGTGCCCTTGATGTAACAATTAAGTGCATATCATGTTTGGACTGAGTTAATGTTTTTATAAAAATGTGGTGATCCAATGCGACAGGTGTGCCATGGAAGTGGAACATAAAATAGGACAAGGTATTAATGCAAAACCCTTTCTCTGTGTGTTTCCTTTCCCATCTAAAGGACTCTTGTCAGAAGCCTGCATGCTATGAGAAGACAGTAACACTGACCAAGGAGCCGTATGACTCCCTGGGTATGACGGTGGCGGGTGGCATGTCCAGCCGAGGGTGGGACCTCCCCATTTACGTCACGAATGTGGACTCTGATGGAGTGGTGGGACAGGAGGGCTCCATCCGCAAAGGTAAAATGAACTTCTAATGAACCCCTTGAAGTCTCTTCCATTACTTACCTGCACACTGTTATAATAATTTGAATATAAGTCATTTGCAAGGATTAAAAGGATTGTAATGTTCAGGGCTTTTGAGCAAATAATTACTATATTAGTGGATGTTGTTTTTAGTTTTGTGCGGTTGTCCTCTACTTAAGCGCACATTATGGCTGACAGACGATAATGGATTTTGTCTGATGAATACTTCGAATATAACAAACTGAGGGATTGATGAACACTTAAGATTCATGTTTCATTATGAAGTGTATTCATCCAGCAAAAGCCTCAGTGATGCTGCTGTGGATCACTACCTCGTAAATTGGCTCTTACAAACTTACACAAGCAAACATTTGCATTGCAGGGCTCTGGACTTATTCTTTTCCAGAGGAGTATTTGTGGAGTGCTTCATCATATCATTATATGAAATCAGTCAGCTCTGAAATACAGCAAAACAGAGTGGCCCCAAAATAGCTGGATGTAATAGCAGTAGCCTTGAGATCCCATATTGCAGTTGAAGGCAGGGGAGTGAGAGATTTCAGCTGATTTTAACGGTTTATTCCAGTCTATCTAAATTAAAACACATTTAGCCTGTCATTACACTCATTCCTTTTCTGAGACTCTCAACGAGAAAAACTCTGTGAGCATAAAGCCTTCATAAAAACAGAGAAATCTGAGTCAGTTTGACCTGTGCACAGTTCAAGGTGCACATTACTTTATCCTTATGGGACAACACAGCAACAGCTGCTGTCTCGGTTTGTGTGGTTATGAAATACGTTTGTGTATTGAAATAGATATTTCATTTGTATTAGCATATCCGCGCATCGCAAGTGTGTCCTTTGGGTTGCTCATTAGCTGGTTGGACTATGCCGTCTGTTTTTCTCTCTACCACTCTCATCGCTAGGAGGCTTTTTAAAGCACAGGTGGCGTTGGCTTCTATCCCTTTGTGTTGCAGCAGGAAGGTTGTTGAATATTAAAAAGGCAGATGATGAGTCCCCGCACTGCGAGGTCTTTTGAAAAGCATTTATCAGGGCAGCAACCCTGGGCAGTGGATGAGCTGTGCTGTCCACTTTCTCCCCCGCAGGTGACATCTTGTTAAACGTGAACGGGGTGGACTTGACGGGGGTGACGCGAGGCGAAGCCGTGGCCAACTTGAAGAACACCTCCTCCCCCGTAGTGCTCAAGGTCTTGGAGATGCGTCCTCCAGAAGACAGCATGCAGGACCACGCCATGCCGCCCTGTCTCACACCTTCACCCACAGACAGCACCAAGAGCCCCGTGCCCAATGATGATTACTCACCAATCTGGGTGTCATGGCTGCAGCTACCCAGGTGAGCACCTCTTGATGTCTCAGTTCTCACTAAATCTACATTTTGTACTTTCTCCACTCCTTTTTTCTGAGCCCAGTATAATTATATCCCCCCTCAACACTGGTCCTTTTGACCTCTGCCAGCTGGTGCCAACGGACATTTTGACAGAGCCAGCTGGGAAGAGAAAACTCATTATACTTTCAAACTAACTTTTCAGCTTAAATATTCACTGCTGCTGTATCAGTAGAACTTCTGAGAATCAAAAACGTTCAGATTTTTAATATATTTGAAATTCAATCTTTAAGACAGTGGCATGCTGACAGAGATAAACAACTGCTGCTGAAATAATAATGTATATTTCTCTGGCGCAGCTAAAAACATTTAAATGTAAATTTCATTTGAGGTATATTTATGAGATATGAAGTTCAACTATTCTCATTGTTACACTTCTCTCTGTAAGGAAAAGTCACACCTTAAAAAAAGAAGCCTTTGTTTTCTGAGCTGAGCCGGTTTCAGCTACCTAGCTCCAGCACACACACTCAGCATGGATATACACTAGATACAATTTAAAGATGCAGTTGAGAGATTAGTGTGTTTAATCTCTTTCTTGGCCCATGCAGGCATCTCTACTGCTGCAAAGACATTGTGCTGCGGCGGAGCACTTCGGGCAGTCTGGGCTTCAGCATCGTGGGAGGTCAGGAGGAGGTCAACTGCAATCAATCCTTTTTTATCCGCTCCATCGTGGAGGGGACACCAGCCTACAACGATGGCAGGATAAGGTAGGCAGTCTATGTATATTACTCTTTGTTGCTAACGAGAAAAATCTGTTTTGGACTAGCTCCAACACAGCTGTATTTACAATGTCTGGGTTTAACCTATGGTAATTTACATAATCATAAGTCAAGCTAATTTTTGTATGGTCATCTCACTGTGTGTAGGTGTGGGGACATCTTGCTGGAGGTGAATGGGACGAGTACATGGGGGATGACCCACACAGCGTTGGTGCGCCTTTTAAAGGAGCTGCGGGGCAGGATCACCCTGACCATCGTCTCCTGGCCGGGCAGTCTGCTGTAGCGGTGCTAAATCTTCAGTGGCACGGACCAAGGAATGTTGGACTTCAGAGCTTTGGACTTTCTGACCACCCTAAGCTTGCTGTGTGGGAGAAGCTTAGAATAGTGCTATAGCTGTATGGATATCTCACTTCTGATGGACAGCTGAGACTTTTTCCAGGAGTTTGGAGAGGGACAAACATGAGACTGGATTGTTACCAGAGGTTAACTTGCCCCTCCCCCCCTAAATGCTGAACAGGGAGGATCCAAAGCTGAGCCACTTCAGACTTTAATGTTGGTATTGTCTGTTTAGAGCAAACGTCTCTGGCACAGCATACAGTGAGTCTGGTGGGTGGATCGAGAGGAGACACAACACGTTGCCAATTCCAGTAGTTATATATTAGAGGTATGCGTTAAGTTGGACTCACATTTCTTTAATGTAAATGTTGGGTGTCTAAAAAAAAAAGTACTGATCCAAGCACTTGTAATACGTTTATTTTGTTTGTTTGTGGTATGGCCTTTTAATATCGGCTCCATTCTGTTTGTACTGACAGTGGTTGTCATTTTCATCTGTTGACCTGATGACACGTTGCCAAGTAGTAGTCTGTGTTGAGGTTTTTTCTATTATTTCAGAAGCTATGGCTTGATTATCCAACCACTGGAAATAAAAAGAGTATATTAAGAAAATAAAAAGATCAATGTGTTCATAACATATTAAAAAATAATATTTAATTAGGTGACATTATGGAGGCCTTACAACATTTTCTTACTTTTAAGAAAAAAAACTGACTTGGTTTCTGTGTATCAGTGGATGGTCTGAGGCCCATCTGCTGCGGTTCTATCTGTCATGCTTCGGCCTGTGTAGTATATCTGATGGTACATTTGGTTAAATGATCAATAAAGTCATTTGAAAACGAGAGTTGTGAGAGAAAATACTTATACATACTTAAAATCCTTACTTCAACTCAACAAAATCGACTAAAAGCAGGTGTAACGTAAACATTTTGTACACAATACATACATAAAAATCTTCACTTTTTAAAATGTTACACAATGCAACATTTCTTATAGATACAGTTAGATGCCAAAGGGCAGGTCCTCTCATTAAATAGATTGAGAAACTGAAAGCCACTCAGATTTTAATTTCCTCTCTTGGCCAGCAGAGAACATCATGTTGATCTCCTTGTCCTTCCTATTTGTTGGCCTTTTTATTTTTGTGTCTACTCTGACTTTCTCTGTCCTCACCACCGTCCCTCTTGCTCGTGCTGCCTCTGCTGCTGTGGAGGACAATGACATTATCATCATCATATCTCTATTCTTTTTGTAATTGCTTTTTCATGAGGACTATGTGAGTCTGTTTCTCTGTCAGACCTGTGTGATGATTTTTTCTTTCCTTCGCTGTTGTCTCTGTGACTGCTCTCTCTGGGCCTCTCACTGACCCTTTCAGAACTGTGGCAGCTGTGCTTTCGCTCCTCCTCATTCCTCTCTTTTCCACTGAAAGACATCATACATGCAAATTGTCTGTTTTACATTTCCTTCTAATGACATTGAGGCATTTTCATTGGGAAACAATACAAAGGGAAAACGAACTCAAAGCCCACAGTAAATTCGTTTGCTGGCCTTTTTTCCTTTTTCTCCAGCGGGAGAGAGATGATTCAGAACTCAAGGGACTAAAACCTTAACCACAGTGCCTGCTGTCTGCCTGCCTGAGCTTTTGTAGCTTCTCCCCTGGCCTTGACTTTAGGTAACAAAGAGCTAAACACTAGTGTCACAGCATGCCCTTAAAGCCAAGCATGCATGCCGCAGTATCCTCTAAGCCAAACAGAAACCTTAGAAAATATATTATTCCCTGTAGGACCTGCAGTCCTAGGAATGAATGATCTGTCACTACTTTACACCTTTCCTGTCCTCTGAAAACACATATGCAAACACATTTAAAGGAAGATCAATCAAATGTTGTTTGTTGAGAGAAACACCTGCAAACATGGTTTTAACTTTCAGCTAAATGCTATAGTCCAGTTCAATATTGAAATCACCTTGTTTTAATTTTCAGAGATGTGACAACATTCTATGGTTGCCAGTTGTCATTTTCACCAGCATCATATGTCTTAGTAAATCGTTTTCAGGTGCACATCATTGTAAATAATTACATAAATATAGTTTTAACAATTAGCTTACTTAATTTGTATTCATTTTAGCATTGAGAAATGGCATGAAAAAACCCCCACTTGTATACTGTAGTGTCCCTGAACAGTAGCTCCCTCCTTTAAACGATGCATTCATTACAGTGTAACCTTCAGAGGTCGTCTGTAGTAATCATCAGACGCTGGTTGGCTGCAACACTGTGTCCTCCCAAGATGAGATTTTTCATAACATGTTTCCACTATAGACTCTCTGTTCATCATGCTTAAGTTAGTATATACACAACAAAAACACACTAAATGATGATATCCCTGTCAGCTTGACTCTGCCTTCTATATAAGGGGGTTTATATTACACAAATGGTTTCCTCAAAAGCATGTTAATTGTTGGGCTGTGATATTCATGCTTGATATTAACATATTAAATACAATTAATATGTAGATTCGACTAAGACCTTCTGACACATCCTATGGCCTTAATGTGTCTAAAAGGAACTACACAGTCAATCCTTTTTATGAAAAAAATGTTGTATTATGTTTATTGAAAAGACCAAGAATATAGATTCAAGATTTGAATCAAGCTCAATCCAGGGTCAATGGAAGACAGTGACAGATCTGCACCAAAACAAGATTAAGCTGTTTGTCTTCCCTCTATATTAGATTTGTTTCAGTTCAATGCGATTACCAAAGCACCCCAGGGTTTGTAAAGAAGAAGTACTACTGTTTGTTACCGGCCATTTGGAGGTCCATTTCATCAGGCTGTTGATAGAACCATGATTGTGTTAAAACACCAATGCCTCCAGTATGCTCTAGAATAAACAAAGAGACTACTAAGAAGAAATATTTCCTTAGGAGGGTGAGTGTGAAATCAAACAAGATTGGGGGCTCAAGTCAATTCAAACCAACAAAAGAAAAGAAGCAGAAACTGCTGCTGACGGTGTGAGAAACAAACTGCTTTGTGAGAGATTACCAGTGTGTAGTGCCCCTTGGGAGGAGAGCTTTAATCCCTACAAAGGAAACAAGTGAACAAGTTTTCAAGTGTGCTTGTTTTTCCAGTAGATAATTTTCCTCCATTTTCAAAAGCAACACCATTGTTATGTTCTTGGTTTTGTTTTATCCAATGCAAGAAGCAGTTTGGATTTTCCTATGCTGCTTCTACTACACCATGGTGCACACATTTTTGAGGGCGCTGATGCTAATTCAGATTGGAAGGTCATAGCATTAGGAACGTCTACAATTATAGAATAGGAGCTGTGACGGCACAGACTGAGTTTGAATGACATTTCAGTGAATATCTATTCACTAATGAGAGAACCATAACATCCCAAAGGGGAACTTGTACTGTGTATACATTTAGAATAGTTGACTTTCTCTCTCACACTCTCCTCAACACGAATCTGCTTGGCACAGCTTGCAGCTTCAGAATAATCACCCTGACCTTTAAGAACCATCACGCTGGCTGAAGGCATTTCTCTCTTCCCCTATAAAAGTATATTTTTGCTCAATAAAGTCTTAGGAAAAATACAGATACTGCACTGCTAAGGCAAACAGCTTGCACATGGCTGGAGTCATTATTACCATTCACTTGCTCAACACACAGAGAGAGAGAGAGAGAGAGAGAGAGAGAGAGAGAGAGAGAGCGCCTTAAGGGGCAGAGTTGTAGCAAGTACAAAGCTAAATATATTCAATATTTGGAGACAGCTCTTGTGTTAGCAGCGTGGATAAGGACCCAAGGCCTCACATTTGTTCTTGCTCAGAGCCATTAGTTTTACACAGAAACAACCACCTCACATAACACCAAAAAAGCACATTGAAACAGTTCCCAAGGAGGCAGTGTTAGAAGGACTAAATTATATTATGGGAGCCTCTGGATGTGTTTGTACATTTTATGATTTTATTCATCTATAGGGCCCAGGCCTTTCAGAGCCGGCAGTATCACAGATTTTCATAAAATGCCTGAGCCTGCCGAGATGTAATTTGGTCCACTCTCTCCCTTCAGTCGTTTAACTGAGAAAGCCAGAGGATTCAGTGAGGCACACTGAGGATATGAAACACAATTTATGATTGGCACAATTAACATGCAAGTATATCCACAAGAATTAATAGCAGCTGTGAGTTGAGGGATAGAGCGTAACATCTAATGACACATGGAGTGGGAGATGCTGTTATTTCAGCTACATTATAGTCAAGAATGATTGTAGAGTCGCCAAAACAACGCAGCTGTGCCAGAGCGTGGCAGTACTTTGATGTCAACACTAAGCCAGCTTTTTCTTCTCCAAGATTAAATAAACAATGAGCATCAATCAAAATCAATAACTTAATTCAACCTTTTTTTAGTGTCTTTACTACTTCTCCTCTCTCCTGTTCCTACCTACTAGTCTAATGTGTGATAATCATGCTTGATATTAACGTATTAGAGCCAATTAATATGTAAATTCCACTAATGTGACCTTATTCATTATACACATCCCATGGCGCTATGTGTCCAAAAGAAACTGCACAGTCAATCCCACTTACTGTAGAAAACATTCTGGCACTTCCCTTGTGATTAGTTTCAGTTCTTTGGACAGTGACTGCTAGCCACCTGGGTTTGTAGGGAAGAACCATTCTGGATTGTTTGATTTGGCCAAAAGAATCAGGTTATTGATGGAACCATGATTGTGTAAAAACACCATTGCCAATCAATTTGCTCCAGACACAAAAAATAAACTAAGCCAATTTTTCCCTAGGAGGGTTGTGTAAAATGGCTCAGGTCAATTTAAACCTTTAAAAGAAAATAAGCAGAAACTGCCGCTGAGTGTGAGGGAAAAAAAACATGTTTTGTAAAAGATTACCAGTGTGCAGCGCCCTTGGGAAGAGAGCTTTACCCCATAAAAATCAAACAAGAGATCAAGTGTTGTTCGCTGTAAGTGGCAAGGAACAGAATGCTGTTGCTGTACAGTATGTTTAAATAATATAGACAGAATGTAGCATTGAATCCAAGGACAGGCAAGCACTGTAGAAGGAACATTCAAATTGATTAGGTACAGGCCCTCAGATCGGCTCTGGAAAGAAATGTGATTCATGCATGAAGTTGAGTCAGAAAGACAAAACATATGTAAAATGAGGGGCTAAGTATGTTTCGTAGAGGGAAAATAAAAACAGATGTAGGTGGAATCCAATATATAAGGCCTCAAGTCAGACCCTGGAGCCAGGATAAAAGTGGCACTAAGGCACAAAGCAAGTAAAACTTACTGTATCCCTCTCAGCCTATGGTAGAAGAAAAGATCCCTTTGGATCTTGCTATGCCTCCTGAATCTAAAGCTAAACTTGGAAGGGAGTCAGGGCGGCTCCTCCAAATCCCCAGACTACCATTGAAGTTGCATTGAGGATTCTTTTTTGAAATTACATGCTGGACTTGTGAAACTCCACTTTTTTGCTAAGGAAGGGAATCACTGAATAGGACTGTTACTGTTAACTGGTGGAAATTAGTTTCAGGCAGTAAAATGTAAAATGTTATTGCAGTTATGAATTAGTAATGCTCTAATTTGGTTTCAATGAATTGTATTACATCTGCCTTTTTTCAATTACCAGTTCCTTTGCCATATTCAAAGTCTGCTAAACACTGTGTTCTCACACTTTCTAATAATCTTTTCGGGCAAGTTTAAGCAGGAATACAATTATCATTTTAATTGCCTCATCACACTGGGACTTCACTCAGTTATTATCAGATGAACTTACTGGCTAGTGCATACAAGCTTTAGAATAGACCAGTGATCAAACAGCCAAGAGTATAA